CAAAAGTCACTATCCGCTTAACCGTCCAAGTTGTCCTTAATGCTCGCCGTGAAAACGAGAGAAACTAGAAGTTTGGCTTTGTGGACTCAACTACGAAGACTTATCTCTCTCTTGGAACGAGTAAAGACAGCTTGTGCGGTCTGAATGGGAAGCGGTTAACATAGGCTTCGTCGCTCTTCTAGAGTTAACCCATCTTGTCAACGTTCGGATAGCTATTAACATGAAGCTTCTTAGGCAGTACTACGTTTCGACAGTTCGTACATAAGCTCTTCTCTCTCTCTCTCTCTCTCTCTCTCTCTCTGTTAATTATTAGTCAGTAGATTTCTTTGCAGGGCATGACTCACGTTAGAAAATGCATGCTCGGTGGTTTGAAAGAGGGGGGAAATTTTGGGGCCGGGAGCAAATCAGCGTGGAGGAGACAATTTTCTAAGGAAAGAGGATGGGGAAGTTGGAAACGGCAATTCGCCTTAATTTCTAGAGAAAACTATAGGGATAACGGCACGATATTCCGCTGAGGTTTAGTCAATGCTCGAGTCGGTCCTTTAATATTGTTTTTGTTTGATTTGGTCCCCAAACTTTTTTGTTTCATTCAATGCGGTTCTCTAATTCATTCGCCCCGAATATTATATAGAATTATACACAAAAAGTAAGAACATTAATACAAAAGGATCCTTTGAAGTTTTATTTATTTTTTTGCTTATTTTTACATTGCAGGGCTTTCTTCAATCTTTTACCTGAGAGACCTAAGCAAGATTGCATGGCTTCGAACAGAACTTATCTGGACAGAAAGTTTTGCCAGACGGAGTCATGTAAGAAATTAATGTTATTAGCTTCTGGTCTTTTGGACTTAGCGAACTCCAACCTTAACTTCCTTAGTCCAGCTACTAAGGCTTCGTTTATTTTGCGAAAAATAAAAGATTTTAAAAATGATTTCCCAAAAATTGTCTGTTCTATCGACCAGATATGGCAAGGTCGAGCCTTGCCCAGCCACCGGCTAGGCTCTAACTCACCGGCCATCACCAAGGCCCAGCGACCAGCTAGAGGAGGAAGAAGAAGGAAGGAAAAAAGGAAAAGAAAAAAGAAAATGACCCTATTTCAGAAATTGTTCTCGGCAAACAAAGTAGTAGATTTTTTTTACTTCTTGTTTATGTTCCAAATCTATTCCCTATGCCACTTTTCTATTCCGAGGAATAGACTAATTAACTGATGTTACCAAATGGATGTCAGTTTTTTTCTGTTTTGAAGAACAATAAAAAAAAAACAGGAGTGTCACCAAACATGCCCTAATTGTGCTTTTATTAAGAAATTTGACGAATGAAATAAAATTATTTAACGACGGCCCATCCTTTTAAATCAGAAATAAATAAAGAGCCCTATCAAAGATTAGTCAAAAGAGATATTGACTTCACGCATTTTTTTGAACTAAACAATTGTATCATGTACCTCGCGTTTGCTTATTGTGTACTAGTCAATGCCCAAAAGGAAGCGAAGAAAGTTCCGAAAAATGCGTCTTTTGGCCCACATGATACAAGCTGGGTTATTATAAATAATATCAAATTGCGACTCTTTTCCGGTAAATGTGTGGTATGTGAACAGACTAGGCCTATACCCAATGTAGAGAAAGTAGGAGCAATTGCCGGGGCAAGAGGATTCGAACAAAGTGCCGCTGTTGGCAGGCCTCTAGGATGGCGGAGAGCTAGAGAGGGGTAGGAGCGGATTGTACACGTCAGATAGGGAGAGTATTGTGGGGTGGTACAAGCCAACGCTGACGAGAGCGTTAATTATTTAAGCGGAGGAGTTTGTAACATCCTTAATTCCACAACAGGTGGGAGAGACCTTGTTGAGTGATATATGAGTTAACATTTACTCAGTTAATGGTCATCACCTTATGAGGCTAAACAAAGTACTCTTCTAAAGATTTACCTTCAAAAGTAATATTTTATTATAAAAAAGGTTAATGCCACGAAAGATCCTAAATTGGTACAATTATGATAAATTTACCCAAATCCCAAACTGATACACTTGTGAGAAATTTACGCTTTATTAGTTTCCGTTAAATTTTACCATCAAATTGCTGAGTTGGATGACACGTGGCAGTTGACGGATATATTAGTTTGGAAGTTTTATTGTCCGCCTGTCACAGGTGTTTGAGTTTGTGATTTTTCGTAATATTAATTCAATTTAATAAAAACTAACATAGGGAAAAATTTTCACAAGTGTATTAGTTTAGGGTTTTTTGAGGTCAAAAAATTAGTTTGGGGTATTGTCATGGTTGTACCAGTTTGGCTTTTTTGTTGGCTAAAAAATTAGTTTTTGGTAAATTTATCATAAGTGTACCAGTTTGGGATTTTGTCGTGGTATTAACGCTAATAAATATAGTTAGTAATCGGTAGCAGATATAAGAATTGTTCTTTCATAGTAGAAAAGAAAGTGTTGAAAGAGACAGAGAGAGATTTATCAAATTACGGTATCGACCTCAACATTGAGTGGGTGAGGAAATTTGAAAAAGGTATTTTATTGTGCTTTCATAGAGAAATTTGACGAATGAAATGAAACTATTTAACGATGGCCAGTCTTTCTAAATCCGAAAAACATGAAGAGTACTATTAGAGATTAGTCAAATGAGATATTTGGACTTCACATAATTTTTTTTTTTGACTTGACAATATTTTTGATCTACCTCTTTTTTGTCTAATGCGGACTAGTTAATGCTCAAAAGGAAAGCAAGAAACTATAACCCCTCTAAGATAAGGGCCTCTCAACATATTTGACGTAATTGACTTTTCCTTTTGTTAAATAATTGACATTCCGATCCTTACCAAAAAAAAAATAATTGACATTCCGATGATAATTTCGTGGGAAAATTATCCACAGAGTCCTAACCCTATTGTAATTATGCCAAATTAGCCATAAACCTTTTAATTGTATCAATTGAGTTTATCCAACCAATTTTGATAGGAAATCATTGATGTGGACGCTAGCCATCCTTAGTGGCACGACCGGCATTGATATGGACAATTTTTAAGATTATTTTAATATTATTTTAGAATTTTTATTATTCCTTTTTTTTTTCTTCACTTTTCCTTCTATTTTTTTTTCCTTTTCTCTTCTTTTTCTTTTTTTTAAATTTTTTTTCTCCCTTTTCCCTCTGCTGGCCATCATTAGGCCTTGTTGATGGCTGGCGGGGGTCACCAACCTTAGGCGAGGATTGCCCTTCACCAAATTAGGCAAGGGTTTGCCCTTGCTGGCCTGTCGAGGGCCACTCGTGCTCGAGGCCTGGCAATGGCCGGCAGAGGGAAAAGGGGGAAAAGAAAAAAGAAGAGAAGAGAAAAGGAAAATAAAAAAAAGAAAAAAGTAAAGACGGAAAAGAGAAGAAAATAAAAAAATTAATAAAAAATTTCGAAAAACAATTCAAATCTTTTTAAAAATATCTACATCAATATCGACCATGCCACGTAGGACGGCTGGCATCCATACCAGCGATTTTCGGAAAAAAAAATTGGGATAGACTCAATTGGCAAAATGTGAACAAGTTTATAAATCAATTAGCACAACTAAAATGTTTAGGACTGAATTAATAGGTTTAGGACTTTTTGAACAATTTTCCCATAATTTCGTTTCATTATAGGGTAAAAGGTCATATCGTATCTCGTAACTCTGTACCAAATGTGCAATTTAATACCGTAATTTCCCGTATTTCTACAATTTCATATTGTTGCCTACCTGTTTCGTTCGATTTGGGCCCTTTCGTCTTACATTACCCTCGGGTGCTTGCAAAATCGGTCATTTGTGTTTCCTTCTCTAGTGACTATACATCTAATCGTTATCCATCTCTTTCCATATTTTACATGTTTCGCCGATTTAATCCTTTAACTTACGAGTAGGGCCAATGCCATGGTTAACCCATGTACCCTCTTTCATCGTTCAATTCGGCTCTTGAATTTTCATTTTGGCCAATTGGGTCCTCATATGCTCTTTCAATGTGACCAATTCGGTCATTTTTTTAAGTCAAGCACCTTGAAAGTTGGGACTCAAAATTATATTTCAAGAAATTTAAATATTTTTTTCAAGTAAAATCTCCGAAGAGGGTTTCTTTCTGCTTCATTTGATCAGCCCATTATTTCTATGAGAATGGGTCTAATGGTGATATACACAAAAAAAGTCAAAACACATAAAAAGAAAAGCCAGTGTTCTAAAAAGTTGCCAATGCTAACTTTTTTCTAGACTCTACTTAACAATTTATCCATAAAATTCGCTCAAAAAAAAAAAAAGAATTAGGTTTCTCGGAAAACTTCTCTTTACAACAACGAGAGTAATATTTGTGGTAGTAATATCTAACAATAAAAACGGAGAAACCTTCCATTAACAAAAGGCCTCAACGCACGAAATTCTCGAACATGGTAAAACAGATCTTACACGTATAGTAAAAAGAAGGCAGGTAACTAAATTCGGGGAAGGCCACTTCAAAATCGCAACTTAACCATCGGGGTCGATTTTTCCTTTTCCGCCCGGTTTAACCATATAAGGGGAACGGAAATAGCGAACCCGCCCCGCCCCGCCCCGCGAGACAATTATTTCCCTAAGCAGGCACGGGGGAGGTCGCTATTTCCGCGTATTTATTTTATCCGAACCGCACCAAAGTCGCTAAAAAGCAAAATTCTCGAGGGCAATCGTGCGAAAGCCGGCAGCGAAAAGTCGAGCCGCCGCCACCACCAACTGCGCTGCTCCGAGGGCGGTGACCGGCACGTGCGGTGGGGAGAGGAGCTTGGAGGTGCGACTGCTGACTCGAAGGAAGGAGGGAGGGAGGGAGGCGCGGGACCCGGAGAGGGGCACTGTCTGGCGGGTATAAATCGACGGGGCAAGTGGGACGAAGAAGAAGGCATCAATCACCAAGTTGGCCTCCTCTCCCGTTTCTCCACTGACGCCACTACACCAGCACCAGCAGCACTGCCGCCGCCGCCACCAGCACCGCTCGATTCCCCGTTTCTTCCTCCTCCGCCTCCTCCGCCGGCCTCCGCGGCTGCTGCTCGGTCGGCGGCGCTCGCCGGGTGCTCGGGAGCCATGGGGAGCAACAAGGACATCAGCCTCGAGGAGATTAAGAACGAGACCGTCGATCTGGTAAACGAAGCTCCCCGCCCCCTCCCTCTCCGTCTCTCTCCTCCTCCTCCTCCTCCTCCTCCTCTCGTTCCTCCTTTTCCTAGGTTCCCTGTTCCGAGGCGAGAATTCGGGAGACCCGATAAAACGAGGGAAGTAAAACAGGGGGAGTTTAAGGGTTTTTTCCCCGGCATGAATCCTCGAAAGTCGCAGGCCGATGATGGTCTCTCCCAGTCGCTCGCTTCTTCGGCGTATCATTTCCGACTCTGTCGATGCATGCTCGGATGATTATTATTATTTTTTTCATTTTGCAGCGGAATTCACCTCCCTCGTTCCTCTTTTTTCTCTTCTTTTCTCCCGTTTCTTGATTTTTACTCCAAAAGTTTTTTTTTTTTTCCGGGAGAATCGGGTTCGGGTTCGGGGGTATTCGTGTTCGGCTCTAGCATTTATGCGGACTTTTTGGGACGATTTTTTTTTTGTAGGCTTCGGATTACTAACGCGAACGTCCCAAAAATTTATTTTTTATATTATTATTATTATTGTTATTATTTGTTTATTTCTCGAAGTGCCCGATTTTACTGAAAGAAAGGGCAGGAACAGTTTTCTCTCTGGGTGGTTCTGTTACGTTACCCTACATAGCCGGCGTGAACCCGGTTCCGGGTCGGGTCAAAATGTTAATGTTAATGTTTTATATATATATATATATATATATATATATAAAATATTAACGTTTGACATGTCGTCGCGGGGTTTCCGTTAGTGGCTGACGTGGCGGGCATTGATGCCTTGCTCTCTCCTGGGGCTGTGCTGCTCGTTCTTGGTTTTTTTATTTTTTATTTTTTATTTTATTTTATTTCCGGTTTGCTTTTCCTTTGAATTCTTTTTGTTTCCCACGTGTCTTGTGGATTGGTTTCTTGTAGCTCTTCCCCGCTTTTTTCTCGTGGGGGCAAACTATACTTGGCGTTGGGTCTTGGGTCTCTCCCACGTGCCGGACACGTGCCCCACACCCGACCGGTGCCGGTCCTTCGGTAATCGCGAATTCTTGCCCGAGCTTAGATTCATGTGGACCGGATCGATCGCGATTGGCGAATTCGTGAAGGCTCGTGCCGAATGATTCTATGGGGGGTTCGCATCAAAATTGAAGGATGTTATTAAGGGTGTACATCGGTCCCGATCCAACTTGATAACCGGATAGGATCAACTGGTTTACGGTTGGTTCCTAGTTCCTGGAAGGAACCATTCCAACCCGGTGGAATCGGCCCAGAGTATGCGTGTGTGTATATATAACATAAAACATAAAAAGAAATGATAGGCTTGACAGGGTCGGTGTGAGAATTGACCCTATTCCGTCACTTCCCATTCTGAAATCAATTATCCCTATGTATTACTGCCTACACCTAAGTATATCCTTGTCAAATTCATTTGAATATTGAAAATTTAACAAAACCTATCACACTGGTCGGATAATTAGCCATGATAATTGCCTTATCAAATATTTTCTTTTCCTTGCTTATTCGTCAAGATCCAGACGATTGCAATTTTCCACGAGTCATGAAGTTGTATTTCACCAACCAATAGATTCCACCATCCTCTTATCTTTGAAGCTCGAGTATCTTGGTCCTTCTATTCTCTATGCATTAAGATAGGGTTGTGGATTGCACGGAAAACTTATGACTTGATATTTAGGCGAACACATGACAACATCTTCCTCTCCTCACCAGCTCCCCATGAAGCATTCCATCCAAATTTATTTAATCCCTAATGATTCTTTTTTAATTTATCTCTATTTCTTTTTCTGTAAGACATCTAATTCGTTTAATTCCTTCCGGTCAATTTTCCATAGGAAACAGTTTGGAAAGACTAACACCCTCTCTCCTGACAATTATTGTACCGTATTATATTGTCCCTAAACTTTTTTTTTTTATCTCATTTCATAGCTCGCATTTTAACTTCAGAAAAAAAAAAGAGAAAAATTTATCTTTGGTCTTTTCTTTTTCTTTCTCTTTTTGTTGGCTTTACCCCTCCTCCCCAGCGAAATCATTCTTGATCTTGAAGTGCATTCTTGGTGCGTAGTAGTTAAAATGAACATGGTAATAACAGGTCAAAAGAAGTTGGCTCGTGCTTTTCCATCCTCCTTTATTTTAAGTCAGAATTTGGACGGTACCGACATAACATAAGTTGGGGAATTGTAGAGGGTTCATTGTATTTTTCGGCAAAACCATGTTGTTTCCTGGAAATGCTTAGAAGCCATTCCAATTCTTCCTCCTTCGAAAATGATTGCTTGGACTCGCTGGTGGACAACAATTTCAACCCTGCATTATCTCAATCACGGTCGCTACCTGGATTAATGGAGAGAGAGAGAGAGAGAGAGTGAGAGAGGGACCATCCTCGTTGACTTTACATTGCGGTGGAATACTGAATAGTCTTCAAGTTCACATGATGGGTGCGACTAATTTGATCTTCTAGAGCTCCCAATAATTTGATGATGACTTTCTTTTAGCAGCCACCCACTTGGACCGTTTGGGGCTAGTGTCCGACTTCTTTCCATCTTTTGACCATTTCACTTTGACCTAACTGACTCTTCCCTTCCATTGAAAGATGCTTGTTGAATGGCACACCTCTTGGGCTCGCTTGATTTCTGTGCTAGTGAAACAGTCTTACTAAATTGCAGCAAATTCACAGTTCAAGCTAATGCTATCATAAGAAGTTTCTCAGTTGTATTATTACTACCACCTGACATATACTAGGATGCCTGCCTGAGAAGCCGATTGTACACTACTGATATTGCACTCATATTATCTGATCTGGACTTTAGATACGGGTGAGAGGAGGTATTGCTTGTTGCTCTAGATGTATGTTGGGGAAAGAATCATTATGGGGCTGGTGAAAACTGGATAGGTTCCCTAAGCTTCCGGGCAACTTGATTTTTATCAAAGTGGATTGGGCTCTGACGGTCACCTTCCGTTTCGCAGGAAAAGATTCCGGTAGAGGAAGTGTTCGAGCAGTTGAAATGTTCGAGAGAAGGTCTGAGCTCGGACGAAGGAGCCCACCGGCTTCAGGTTTTCGGACCAAACAAACTGGAAGAGAAAAAGGTTCTTTTTAGATTGATTAACAATGGATTTTATTGATAAGCTTCAGTTCGCTTCTTTGAATCTTTGCCATACAATTGATGTGTTGGCCTGTTAAATGCAGGAGAGCAAAATTCTCAAGTTTTTAGGCTTTATGTGGAACCCGCTGTCGTGGGTCATGGAAGCTGCCGCTCTGATGGCCATTGCGTTGGCAAACGGTGGTAAAAGGCCTCCAGATTGGCAAGATTTTGTTGGTATCATTGTCTTGTTGGTGATCAACTCCACCATAAGTTTCATTGAAGAAAACAATGCTGGTAATGCGGCGGCTGCCCTTATGGCCGGTCTTGCTCCCAAAACGAAGGTGAGAAGAGAGATGGTGGACGAATAAGAGTTCTATTACTGACATGATCGTAATGTAGAATCTGCACTTGTGGTTGTAAATGTAGGTTCTCAGAGATGGCCGATGGAGCGAGCAGGATGCTTCGATCTTAGTGCCTGGAGACATCATCAGCATCAAACTGGGTGATATAGTTCCCGCGGATGCCCGTCTCCTTGAGGGTGATCCCCTTAAGATTGATCAATCCGCTCTTACTGGTGAATCCCTTCCCGTTACTAAGAACCCGTCGGATGAAGTATTTTCCGGTTCGACCTGCAAACAAGGGGAAATAGAAGCGGTTGTTATCGCTACCGGTGTGCATACTTTCTTTGGCAAAGCTGCGCATCTGGTGGACAGCACCAATCAGGTCGGTCACTTCCAGAAAGTTCTCACCGCGATCGGTAACTTCTGCATTTGCTCGATTGCCATCGGGATAGCAATAGAGCTAATGGTCATGTACCCGATACAACGCCGCGAATACAGAGACGGGATCGACAACTTGCTGGTTCTGTTGATCGGAGGGATTCCGATTGCAATGCCTACAGTTTTATCCGTTACTATGGCTATTGGATCCCACAGGCTCTCTCAGCAGGGCGCCATTACCAAAAGAATGACTGCCATTGAAGAAATGGCGGGGATGGATGTTCTTTGCAGCGACAAAACAGGAACCTTGACCCTGAATAAGCTGAGCGTCGATAAGACCTTGATCGAGGTGTTTACCAAAGGTGTCGAAAAGGAGCATGTCATTCTTCTCGCAGCGAGGGCATCTAGGACTGAAAATCAGGATGCAATTGACGCTGCGATTGTCGGAATGCTTGCAGATCCAAAGGAGGTATGATTCATATTAGTTCAGATATTTAAGGCTTGGAATGTGCATGACTTATTAAAATTATTGGACCATGAAGAGTATGGGTTGTTGTTCACGTTTCTCCTTCTGGGCAGGCCCGAGCTGGTATCCGTGAGGTCCATTTCCTTCCATTTAATCCAGTGGACAAGAGGACTGCTCTGACATACATTGACTCGGATGGGAGTTGGCATCGTTCAAGCAAAGGTGCTCCAGAGCAGGTACTGGTGCTCGTTTTCCTTGACAGGTGCAGCAATGGTAGATTCTTGGATGCCACGGATGATATATTTAATTCTGATGCCGTGGACAGATATTAAACCTCTGCAATTGCAAGGAAGATGTTAGGAAAAAGTCTCATGCCGTGATCGACAAGTTTGCTGAGCGTGGACTTCGATCTTTAGCTGTTGCAAGACAGGTGTGCTAATATTGTGATCCACATATCTAATTGCTAAGGCCATGGAATGGTTCATTTACTTGCCTCTATTTGAGATTTGCAGGAAATTCCCGAGAGAACAAAAGACAGCCCAGGTGCTCCTTGGCAGTTTGTAGGTTTGTTGCCTCTTTTCGATCCTCCCAGGCACGATAGTGCAGAAACAATCCGAAGAGCCCTCAATCTTGGTGTCAATGTGAAGATGATTACTGGTAAGAACTGGTGTGACAGAGCTCCATCAATCACTAGGTAATGCTTTCTTTTACGGATGTAATTTTTGTCCTCCTTGAATTTTCAGGTGATCAACTTGCTATTGCCAAGGAAACTGGTAGGAGGCTTGGAATGGGGACAAATATGTATCCTTCTTCTTCATTGCTTGGCCAACACAAAGATGCTTCGATCGCAGCACTTCCTGTAGACGAATTGATTGAAAAGGCAGATGGATTTGCTGGAGTATTTCCTGGTAAGCTCTGTTCATTTCCACGATTCTTCGCGTAAACTCGATTCTACGACCCACTCAACCTGCATTGCACTACCACCAATTAATTTGTTTAACCCTATGAGATTGTGATATCCTCTTTTAAGAGTTCTGTGTAATTTCTATGCGCTGACATTCTAATTGGTGCATGTCAGAACACAAGTACGAAATCGTAAAGAAGCTGCAGGAGAGGAAGCACATATGTGGTATGACTGGAGATGGTGTGAATGATGCGCCAGCTTTGAAGAAGGCGGACATCGGGATTGCAGTTGCTGATGCCACTGATGCTGCCAGAAGTGCCTCGGACATTGTCCTCACTGAACCGGGATTGAGTGTCATAATAAGTGCTGTGCTGACCAGCCGGGCTATATTCCAAAGAATGAAGAATTACACGGTTAGTGATTTCAATCGTGTTTCCAGACTATTATGCATATGCGTAACTGTATTCCGAGCTTACCCCAAGGTGGCTTATCTTTGCAGATTTATGCAGTCTCCATTACAATCCGTATCGTGGTAAGTTCTCCATATCAATTGTGGACTCAAGATAGGGAAACTCTTCCCTCGCGAAATTTCATGCAATCAGTCTCATCATTTTGCTTCTGCAGTTTGGCTTTATGTTCATTGCTTTGATCTGGAAGTTCGACTTTGCGCCCTTTATGGTTTTGATCATTGCCATCTTAAATGATGGTAAGACCCATAGTTTTTCATTCTTTTACTCCCAGTTCTCATCATAAATGCCGATCAAGAAGCATCAATTGATTAATCATCTGTTCCAATCTCAGGAACAATCATGACAATCTCCAAAGATCGAGTGAAGCCATCTCCCCAGCCAGATAGCTGGAAGTTGAAAGAAATTTTCGCTACTGGAATTGTTCTGGGAGGTTACCTGGCATTAATGACTGTAATTTTCTTTTGGGTCATGAGAGATACTGACTTTTTCTCAGTAAGAATCTGTTTCCTGTTTGGTTTTCTACTTCTATCTCTCATGTATATCTTTCGTTGAATTACTGGGATGAGAAGTAATAAAATATAGCGACCCTATTCTATGGTGCAGGACAAGTTTGGTGTAAAATCAATCCGAGGTAGACCTGGTGAAATGATGGCTGCCCTATACTTGCAAGTGAGTATAGTTAGCCAGGCTCTAATCTTTGTCACCAGATCGCGCAGCTGGTCCTATGTTGAACGCCCGGGACTTCTCTTGGTCAGCGCATTCATAGTTGCTCAGCTGGTAAGAATTTCTCGTTCCATCTGTTAACTTTCTACTGGGAGCATAAGTTTGCTGCGGCACTACTAATGACTAATCTCATTGGAGTCCGGTTGAAGTGAGAATTACGGATTTACTTGCTTTCACTGATGATGACTGGTTAAAAGTTCTCAGAAAAGTTTGGACAATCGATAGCTTAATCACCATTCAACAATATGCTCCCTGATACAAAATTTACATGGACAGGTTGCGACACTCATATCGGTTTATGCAAATTGGGGTTTTGCGAGGATCAAAGGAACTGGATGGGGGTGGGCTGGTGTCATCTGGCTTTACAGCTTGGTGACGTATGTTCCGCTTGATATTCTTAAATTCGCAATTCGCTACATTCTGAGCGGGAGAGCATGGGATACCCTTTTGGATAACAAGGTAAATTCACTAAGAAAGTGGCACCGCCACGATTATGTATCGAGAAAAACCCTACATTCTGTTAATTTGGGCCAATTTTATCATGCAGACCGCCTTCACTACCAAAAAAGACTATGGCAAAGAAGAGCGAGAAGCTCAGTGGGCAACTGCACAGAGGACTCTACACGGCCTTCAGCCTCCTGAAACCAGCAACCTTTTCTCTGACAAGAGTAGCTACAGGGAGCTTTCAGAGATTGCAGAGCAAGCCAAGCGACGAGCTGAGGTCGCGAGGTGAGCACCTTAATTCTCATACTTCAATGCTTGTAATAAAATGAAGTTCTTTACGAAAAAACATAGTTCCACCTACTTCGCTTCCGTACCTGTTTGCTTGCCTGATAACTGAAGTTCAAAAACCATGCTGTATTTGACGGAGCTTAGGAGCCATACTTTCTCAATACAGAGATTAAACTGTTTGCTGCTAGCAGTTCCTTTTCGCCATTTAAGTCCTACATGCGATGGTAAGGAAAACTGAATCTGTTGTTGCAGGCTGCGCGAGCTACATACTCTGAAGGGCCATGTCGAATCCGTGGTCAAGCTCAAAGGCTTGGACATCGATTCCATTCAGCAGCATTACACATTCTGAGGGGCTTTTCATCCGAAGCAGAGGAGATCATATCGTGGAGAAATGGAAAGTAGTCTTAAGGATTATGATGACGAAGAAGCGTATGGAGCTTTTATTAGTCTAATAGGACAGCAGAAAACGAAGTCGGTAGCGGTCAGGGTCGTAGATTTTTGCTGTCACCAGTATAATGCATGGGGGCTGCTTTCTCTTTGACAGAATGAGATTTAACTCTTCCTTTCAAAGTAGCCATGTTCAAGTAAATTACTGAATCTTGTTCGGATTTTAATGATTATGTTTTGCTTGAAGCATAATCTAGTCCACAGTTCTCAAGAGTGGTCTGCCTGGTAAAAGAAAAGGAAAAACAAAAGATTAGGCATTTGGTAAATGATTTTTGTTAAATAAGCAATAGGGACCGTTTGTTTGAAGGAGAACTGTTTTCGGGAAATTGCCTTTCGACTGTCCGATAATTGTACAACGGAAAACTAATCGATTGATGAAAAACATTATCCGTGGACTGAAAACAATAAACATAGATTCAGGGAAAATCAATTCCGTCCTAACAAAAAGAAAATTACTTTCCCTAAATCATAAAATAAACGAAAACTAGCTATTTTCTATTAAGAAACGGCTTCCCCTTGACTTGAAAAATGTTAGACTGCGAAATCGCAGTTAGGGTTGGGTCATCTTCAGTGAAAAGGTTTTGTGGAAATCCACCCCAATGACTTTCAGTTTCTCTTGATCATACACCCATTCTCCCCTATTATTCCTTAAAAAGTCAATTTTATATGCGGTAGCATGAAAATGCTTTGTATTTTTTACCTGAACCGCAACTATTGATGCCGGTTTTTCGATACTAGTGGATTTCTTCCTAACCCGAGACATCAACAAACTCTTTTTTGTAGTTTTGCTTCAAGTTTCGACAAAAAGGGATTTGTACCTTTCTCAAGTGACTTTCGAATGCCTCTTAATCTGGCCAACAAATTCTTTTCTTCTGGAAAATGTTTCCAAAGACATTATAATTCCACCCCTTGATGGTTAGATTTAACTTTTGGAAGCATTCGTACTATCGCATCAACAAATAAACAACGTCTAGAAAGATTACATGATGCCCTATCAAGGCGCTTGAATAGCCTATTGTATCCATTCCCCCTGGGCCCACGCCATGTAAAATTTCATTCCCACCCAATCAAGATCAATTAGACGACATTTGTCAATCCCACTCTCTAAACCTAGCACATTTTACAGCATTGACTGGTGCACCCCCTTTCTTTTCGTCCGGAAACGTGACATCATTAAAATCACCCGTGACCATCCATTGTTCTATCATTGTAGCAGCTGTCTATTCAAAATGATCTCTTAATTGTGCTTTGTCTAACTCATCTGGTTTTGCATATTAATTATGACCATATATATAATACTTGTCAGAAATTAAATATTTTAAGAAAAACATTTTCCATCCTTTTATTTCGGAGAAGTGTCCAATTTGAAATAGGCAATCAGATTAACTATAGAATTCAAACTTATTATTGCAAAAAAGATTGTTGTACTTAGTCATGTGTAATTACATATATAGTTATATATCCAACCACGTATTTCCTAAAACAGATTTTGAATTTGTAATGTCAAAGCAACATAATTTACAGCCAAATAGTTACATACTGTATATTCTTGATATCTTACATAGGAGAATCATCCAGCGTAGTATATAAAGTAATATTGATATAAATTCGAAAATTAACAATCCTAAAAAATCAAAGAGGAATAATTCTTATTAATAAAACGAATACTAATACTTTAAGCACATGGTGAAACACTAAAATTTAACACATAATCATACTATGACAGAGCCCCTTCAAGCAAGCCCAATGAGTGTGTGAGTAAATTTTGTAGAATGAAAGGCTCCGTCCTCATTGAAAATATGACATTTCTGGAAAATTATTTTCATGAAGCCATTTTCTAAGAAAATGACAATATTTTCTGATGTTCGGCTGAAATCTAAAAATAAACTAGAAAATATTTTCCATTGTTTGGTATCTGATTTTATTTTTTGGGAAAAATTACCAAAAAATTCGAATTTTTTTAATTAATTTTCTTTTCTTTTCTTTTCTTTTCTTTCTTTTTCTTTTTGCTTCTTTCTCGGCCAATCGCCGGCCACAGCATAGTTGGCGACCATCCATAGGTGAACTCGAGCCTCACCCGAGGTTGCCAGAGGTTGATGAGGCTCTGCAACCTCAAGGAGCCTTGCCCAGCTTGTCGGATTTGGCAAGGCCCGAGCTCGCCCGTGGTCGGTTCGGCAAGCTTGGGCCTCGCTACATTTGGCGAGCTAGGCGAGGCTCGAGCTTGCCCATGGCCGGCAACCGGCTGAGGAAGAAGAAAAAAAAAGGAAAAAAAAAGAAAAGTTAAAATATTTAAAAATAAAAATAAAAATAAAAAATAATTAAAAACTAGAATTTTTCTAAAAAAAGAAAAGAAAAAAATAAAAATAAAAGGAAAAGGTGTTTGGTGAAAGAAAGTACTTGGTCTAGAGGTAAAAGAATAAGGAAGGGAAATGTTCTTCGCATTCAAAAAAGCGGAAAATATTTTCCTCACTCTTGAATGTGTTTTTTCCATTGGTGGAAAATATTTTCCTTGATTAATTTATTTTCCGCGAATAGAACACGGGAAAATCCGGAAAACGTTTTCATGGAAGTTGTTTTCCGTGAAATGAACAGAGCCAAAGTAAAACTCTATCTTCACAGAAACATATACTTGGAATGGAATTCATATTTTCTTCGCATGCAATATCTGTGCAACTTTTCTAATGTATTATAACGAGAACAGAGGAAAAAAAGGCCAAAAAAAAAACTTCCAAATTTTCACTAAGCAGATAATCGAAGGATAGAAAAAGTTATGATACTTGATGATGGTTGTGTTACACCTCAAATCCTACAAGAATAGGAGTAGTGACACAGCCGTCCTTCCTCTCGAAGGACGTAGCCTCAAATCCTACCAAAAGAATTAACTCCCAAAAGTCCCCATCAAAAGCGCTCTCGAACTATCGGCCACTAACCGAAGAACCTGAAAAACATAAAACGATGAAAGAAATGAGCTACCACGGCTCAATGAGCAATACATTTCTTCCAAGTGGATCGAACAATCACTATGCATAATTGTAAATTGATATCAATCTCAAATTCAATATACGATATACGTAAAATATCGAAAATGTATAATAACTTTCCAAAAAAACTCTATACGTACAAAATCAGTCATCAAAACTTACTCAACAATACAAACAACTATCAATGATTAATCTCATCAATCACACACACGTCGATGGTCCATTCCATCGATTAATCTCATCAATCACACGTCGATGATCCATTCCATCGATTAATCTCATCAATCACACGTCGATAATCCATTCCATCAACTAATTTTATGCTCATCATTGAACTATGGTCACGTTTAACGCCGTGACAAAGGCGACCAAGTTTACCCCCTTGGCTAGGTCTACCACCTATATAGCTGACGGTTCGGCCCAGAAGGATGTCCTGACAGTATGCATACTCCCCTCTCAATGGGTTCTTGTTATAGCGATATGAGCCATATCAACCAAAACATTTCTCCAACACACAATCAATACCAGAAAGTTATTTCATAAACCGGTTTTACAAACCGAATCACATAACCTTCCACAATTCCATTTATCAATTAAAATGCATTTCATAAAATATTTCGTCATCAATATGAACTACTTTTGGAAATTCCTTTCACTAAACATTTAACCAAAACATTCGCAATTGGTCAATTTAGATCATTTCATAAAACATTCTCAATCCCTTTTCAATCAACTAAAAAGGTAGTAAAAGTTCGATCCAATTTATGCAAGAAATATGCTCTTAATAACTCATACTATATTAAAACTCTACCATTTTCAAGACATGAGTTTGTAAATTCATGGAAAAAAATAGTACCACTCACCTAGGAATGCCCCAAAACCAAACAACAATGCTCACTCGAACCGACAATCTCGTAATCCTAACAATTAAAGGAGAATCGACGTCAAAACCAAGTAAAATTCTACGATAACTACGAAACGGCTAAACGATGCTTAATCACTAACGAAACAAGTCAAAGGCGTGCACAAATCGCTTGTCCAAAGCAATTATCCAAAATCCGTCCGCAACGCGGAGCTTGAACGCGAAACTTGATCGCGCCATAACTTTTTCCACTGAACCTGTTCCAAGCGAGCCTATAGTCAAAAGAAAACCCATTCAAAGAACTACAAGAACCCCAACTTGGCTGACCCAAAATCGAGCCGAAAACTGATGAAAATCAGCCTAAAAGACGATGGTCACGCACTGTTCACCACTCGCGCGCAACTTCAAAAATTCGTATCCGGCAAACCTTAAGTCCAAATTGGATTCCGTAAAATCCCACAGCCCCGCAACATCCTAAACTATCAATTCTATATATATATTCATAGCTCAACGACTTAAAAATCGGATTTCGTCGCTCGAATAACACATAATTCTGAAATATGAGCTCTAACCCGAAAAACTTTTTTGATTGGATGAACGAGAGGTGCTAGCACTTATCGGACATTGCGAATCAAAGTTCAATTGGCTTGATGATGCGTCCATGGCAACTACGTACGAAACCCCTCTTCTTTCTCCTTCCCTTTCTTTCTCTTCTTTCCTCTTTCTTTCCTTTCCTTCTTTTCCTCTCTCCCGCAAGCTCTCGGTCCCCTTTTATAAACTGAGGTCCACTCTAGTTTCTTTATTGACTTTTCAACCCTTTTGCTGTGCTTTCTTTTTCATTTTTTTAAATCCAAATATTTCAGGTTGTATCCAAAAACGAAAAATAAAAATCCAGAGATGCTACATTCTTAGGCTTGGATCATCCAATGAAACAAGACAGACGTGAATATCAAACGCAGATGCTTGAATCATGCAGAGGCCCAAGTAAAGATCAACTATGTGACAGAGATGTACTTTGAGTGAAGCTGAGCCTCGCTCCTCAAACCACTATCAATGTCAAAATAAGATTTCGCAGGGCGGTCTTCAGTACCGGGAACTCGAGGCCAAGAAGGAAACTGTAGTAACCGGGTACTGTGATGTATGCAAGTCCCTTCACAGCTTCTGAATCTTCTGTTTGATCTGGCCTGGCAACAAAGAGATGCATTTTATTTGATTCTGGAAGGCAGGACCATCGTGGAATCTGCTATCATAATCCAGGGTAATTCATGATGCGGCATTTTTACCTGCTGCTCAGTCTAAGTCGGCCGTTTAGCCCGAGACATTAGGTTGCAGTGATATTTCAAAGTACCCGAAAAACACTCAAGCTAGTCAAACGATATTCATCTGAGTAGATGAAATACTTTGCATACAAAATTTTTCAAGAGAAAAAGAAAAGACAAACTAACGCCAGATGATGTTCAGTAACATCACCTCATCATTGTTTTTGAAATTTTCCATCCTATAATCATATAGATCATCAGGGTTATCGGGTGCCTCTCATTAATCGCATAAATAACTCACATAAAAAGTGCATGCCATGGTGACTTTTTATTTCCAGTAATGTCTATATATGGGGTGTACGAGCATATATTTGGACTTTCTGCATCGCATTCGCAGATGACTATTCTATCCATCATCACTGGGCAGAAAAATTGAACAGAGAGCACTGCCCATCCAGTTATTTCTTCCATTTCAATACTCCCGCTAGCGAATACTCCATGTATATTGAATATATGAGCATATTATCTTATCAACGATAATCAGTCAGCTAGATGGAAGAAATTAAGAACGCCAATGACCAGAATGATTTGGAAGTTCAGAAATGCTGATTCATGCACTTATTTGAATATTTGTGAAACGGGACAATGAAGTTGAACTGTTTAAGTAGTATGCATTGCATTCTAAGTCATCAGAAACAGTACATATTCTCTTCATGGCAAGAAAAGTGAACCAAGCAATTGCTGGGCCTTGTTGAGAATTACTACATGAAGGAAAGATATTGCATTCTCTAAAGAAGGAAAAAGAAAAAAAGAAACATTGGAGAAGAAAGCATTCCAGTTACAAGGAAGTCCGAACAACGGAAGTGGAACTCATGGATCATCATTAAATTGTAAAAATGCACGGAATTTAGAATGCACCTCAGCCTCAGAAACTTCAGACTTGCTCGAGGAAGCATAAAATGGATCTCTTTCGAGTCCTGATTTAGATCAATGGCCTACCACGAACTTCGCAAGTATCTGGCCTTTCTAAGGAGTTCGAATACTAGAGGCTGTCCTTTTGAGGTATGTTCTTGCAATGTTGGATATTACGTGTTCTCAGCTGCTTCAAGTTCGATAAATCTGGCAGTCCTCGAAGGGAATTACAGTATGAGATGGTCAATGTTCTCAAGGATGTCAAGCATTCGAGGCCGTCTAGCCTAACCAGCTCGCAGTGAGAAATAAGCAAGGCTACCAAGGATGAGAGATTTCCAAGTCCTTGGATTTCCATTACTGAACATGAGAGAAGCTCCAATCCAGATAAAGACTTGAGATACATAAGCTCCGGCAATGTCTTTAAGGATTTGCAGTCATGGAGGGTCAGTTTTTTCAAACTTTTGGGTAGTTGTGGGAGATGTTGCAGGTCTGGACATTGAAGATCAAGCTTCCTTAGCTGTGAAAGAGCACCCATTTCCGGTAGTGTAGTGAAGCCCGAGAGGCACAATTTCAAGGTCTCAACTTTTGTCACTTCGCCAATCCCAGAAAGGCTGAGCGGCTCCACCATCAAATTTCCGTCTGTGCGGTGAGATGCCTCCTCCAAATAATTGGCAAGGTGCAACTCTTTGAGATTGGTCAGATTCGAAATATCCAAAGACTTCAATTTACTTGAGTCATAAGTGAGACGCAAAGCGGCTAAACTAGAGGGAAGCAGAGGAACCTTATGAAGATTGTCGCAGCCATATAAATCAAGGTTTTGGAGATGGGAAAGACTAGAGATGCTCTCTGGTAGGCTGCGAATATTGGTATGTGACAACACCAAAATTCTCAAACGAGACAAGCCTTTGATCTCCTCAGGAATTTTTGCCAAACTCCTACAGCGTGACGCATGAATCTCCTCAAGCTTCTTCAGTGTTCCAATAGATTGAGGGAACTTTCTAATGAAACTTCCGTCCATTTTCAGCGTCTTCAAATTTTGCATATTACCAATGGCACGTGGTAATTTATCTATTCCTGTACTCGAGAGATCCAGATTCTCTAATGATGTCAATTTTTCAATGGCGTCTGGAAGTTTCCACATCAACCGACAATCCCTCAAAGACAGTTGTTTCAACTTTTCTAGCCTTCCAATCGAATCTGGGAGCGTGGTAAGTTCAGAGCCATCCATCGAAAGAAATTCTAGAGATTTTATATCACCAATTTCACTAGATACTTGTGCCAATGATTTACAGTTGCAGGCACTGAGAGTTTTCAGATGCTTCATATCTTCGGAGACCGGAATATCTTCTATACAAGTTCCATCAAGTCGGAGCTCTCTCAAAGCTTCCAGAGAATCAAGTTCTCTGGGCAAGTTACTGAGGTCAGTGCAGAATTTCAAATCTAAAATTTGCAAACGTTGCAACTGACCAATCGATGGGTCAATTCGAACCAAATGAGAGCAATATTCTAAAATCAGCATCTCCAAAGCCTTGAAATTAGAGAAGTTTGGAGTTTGTATTAAGTCAACGCAGCCTCTGAGAATTAAGACTTTCAAATTCCTTGACAACTGCAAGCAATACAAGTAGACAGAAACTGTTAATGTTGCAGTAAGTGTTCAAGTGAAAACGGAAATGCAAAGTATTTGAGCTACCTTTATACTTTTCCAACCCTCCCAACCTTCAGTTACCTTGCTCCACGATAAATCGAGAATGACCAAGTCCTCCAAATTCAAATTTTTTACATTAAAAGCTCTCGGACAACCGTGCCAACGGAGCCAAAGTAACTTCGAAAGAAGATTCCTAAAATCCTCCTCCTTAATATCAAAGTGATCCAAAATGAGGAGACGGAGATTTGGTACTCTTTTAAATTTGTCAGCAGTCAAACAGGTCTGTGATCGATCATCCATGTGTTTTTGTTCAGTATTATCCATGTCAAGACACAGAGCTTCAACCTTCGTTTGGCTCTGTTGGTCAAACACCATTGTTAGACAGAAGCCAGTGTAACCCCGATACAGAAGTGAACTGAGGAACATTTGTGTTTTGCTCTTTCCAAAATGGATCAAAACAAGGAGAGTTAAATATTCAATAGACAGACTAAAAAAGAAATGTCAAATCTTACCTCATCTTGTTTAAAAATCTTCCGAGCTTCAGTGGCCCATAGTCTACTGTTGTTCCCATGTTTCGTGCGATTGTCTTGAACAATTTGCCTGCCCAGCTTCCTCAGCTGATCATGCATCCACATCCTATTGTCATCTCCAATCTTTACCATGGACATGAGACAGAGCTTCTCCAGTTCTAGAGAAGGGAACAAGTCAAGTTCCTTCCACATGTAAGATGCTATTCTTTTATCCTCTCCTACAAGAAAACAAGCTATGTCGAGCAAAATATGCCGTTGGGAACTGCTTAATAGTTCATAATGAATCTTCAACTTCTTCTGGACATCATCGTCAGGTAGTTTTTCTAACTTTTCCAGCAGAGCTTCCCATACTTCTTTTTTATCCCGAAACAGAGACAAGTGTGAACCTGCGAGCTCAAGAGCTAATGGAAGTCTTCCAGTAGCGGACACAATTCTTTCAGAGAGATCATCATAGTCATGTTCTGGACAATCCTTTGCAAAGGTGTGTCTACAGAAAAGTTTTAGAGCGTCGCCATGATTCATCTCTGTGACATCATAAGTTTCTGTTACTTCACGCCCACTGAGAACTAATTTATATTTGGTTGTGATAATGATCCTACTCCCTGAACCGAACCAATTGAGACTTCCAACCAATGCTTCAAGCTGCGTCTTCTCATGCAAGTCATCCAGAAGGATGAGGACTTTCAGTGTACTGAATCTATCTTTGAGGAAGCTAACTCCTTCCTCCACCGAGTAGAAGTTTGCCAAGTCCCTTCGGATGATGTCAGAAACCAACTGATTTTGCAAAGCTACAAGACCCTTTTTTGCAGAAGTTTCTTGAATATCGCCAAGAAAACTGCAACGATCAAAGAGGTGGCAGATATCATTGTAGAGAGACTTTGCGAGGGTTGTCTTGCCAATGCCCGGAATGCCGGAGATGACAATCATCCGCACGTCACTAGAGTCAGTATCCAACATTCTTCTCAGCTTAGTCAAGTGGTCTTCAATCCCGACTAATTTGTCAGACAGATTGAGCTTAGCCTTTCTCAATTTCTTCATAACTTTTGAGACCATCATTGTTGCGAATTCTCCTTGCCTAGAAAACAGTCAAAAATTTCAGAAAGAAGGAAAGAACACGACGTTATGGACACTGTAACTGTGGCTAAGGATCTGAAACTGATGAAAGGTGAATGTGACTGAAATGTCGAACGCTTGGCACATATGCAACAGAGTGTCTCCCAGTCAATTCAGAGTGACCCATCAGCCAACCCCCAAAAGAAAAACTCAGATTGACCCTGAGCCATGCCCATCACAACCCTTGACAGACCCTTGTTATGGAATAGTGATGGTGCCGTTTCGAGACCAAATGGAGGATTGTCCATTAAAATTGTTGGTTCGGGATGCAGAAAAGGAAAGAAAGCAGAATTAGTTACAGATCCTTAAACCTTACCCATTATCATCGTTCAGTTGCCGCCCTTTCAAAGATGTCACTTCTTTGAGGGCATCCACCCATTTCTGGATCGTATCCTGGTCAACTCCTTTCTTCTCGTGTGCCTTTATGTCAGCGGCGTAGATTCCCTCCTCATCCTTCATTTTCACATCCCATGCCGAGATGTGGAAGAAGACCGGCATGATGATCATTCCATCTTTGAGCCACTCGATCATATGAGCCAGCTCTCGGAGGCACCATTTACTCGAGGCATAGCCCTTAGACAGGATGGGGATGCCGATCTTCGACAGCTTGATTGCCTCAGGAAGCTGCTTCTTGATGTACTCTCCCTCGAAAAGCTCTTCTTCGTCTCTGAAGGTGCGAACCCCGGCACCAGTGAGGCTGTTGTAGAGAACATCGGTGAATCCATATCGGGTGTCGCTTCCTCTGAAGCTCAGGAACACGTCAAAGTTGTTTCCTGTCACCGGAGCCGATGATGCTGAGCTCGAACCGCCGTGAGGACCTTCTTTCGCCATATGCAGCTGGATAGGAGACGACAAATGCACGGAAAATTTCCTCGGACAGACTCTTGACGATGCCACACTCTGGCCCGGTTGATTATTGGAGAAGTAGACGCTCCTCCGTCTGTGCGGAATTTCTACAGTTAAAGGGTTCCTTGGACTGGACCAGATCCATTGAGGCTTCCAAGTAGAACCACCGGACGGTAAACAGATAACAATGACCGTTGGGTGAGTCAAACCATGTCACTTTCCACACCTCAGTCGCGGTTTTATTCCTATTCTATTCAATGGTTCATTAACTATTTGATTATAAAATTCACCAGAATCGGGACGAGGCACGTCTCCTAGCCTTCAACTAATAATAGCCAATTCATGTGTTCCATACTAAAAGTTCAATTTTTTTCACGAAGGATGAATGATTTGAAAAATACTTTCTTATAAATAATTGATTAACCGCTTATAAAAATAAATAAATGAAAAATATTTACATTGTTCATGTAAATATCTAGACATAAATTATTGTCGGTAATGAAAATATTTTTCATTTACTAATCATTTCAAGCGATATAAGCGATTATTTGATGAATTAACAGTGAAATATTTCTATTGTGAAGATGATTTTATGCATTCTCATTAATTTGATGGTAAGAGAAATTATTTCCTTTTTCTTTTCTTGAAATGCAGATTTGAAAGAAAAACAACATAAAAAGTTCATTGGATGGAAAATTTGCTCATACTTCAAACAATGGATAAAAAATTTGAAGCTCTAAAAATTGAATACTACGGCTTATTTGATTAATTGAACAGAATGTAATTAGTACTCTTCTTTATATTAATGGGAAAAATGCACAATAAAGTAAAAATAAAGATAATAACATTATAACAAAATGTCCTATTAAAATTGAGATTTTGAAAAAAATTGAGACCAGATACTTCTTTTATTATCAATATATCATTTCCCTTTAAAAATAAAAGATGATTTTTATGTGTTGACACCTAATTTTGCCCACCTCATTAAATTAACGTTTAAATGGTAAAGTGGCCAAATTAGTGCAAAAGAGAGATAAATATATATATAATAAAATATATCGGACCGGTTCAACTTGGCCCATCAGCCCTAGCCCCGATCTTTTTCTTTTAATTCTCGATTGGGCCCAGCCTTTTTTGTTTATTCCTGGGCTTTTCCCCCCCTTTTTTTTCTTTTTATTGAGCCCACCTTAGGACCATGCCCCCTCCCCTTTATTTTCAGCCCAATCTCGCTTGCACAGCTCGCTGCATTGTCTTTTCTTTTCTTCGACCCAACCCTCTTCTTTTCTTTTTCTCTTCCTCACGCTTGCGAGAAAGACAAACAGGGAGGGGACCATAGTGAGGCGAGCTTACAGAGCAGAACGGGAACATCGCGTTGCAGGAGGAAAGGTCGTGTGCAGCAGCAGGGAGGCGTCGTCCCACGACGCCCAGTGTCAGGCACGTACAATGGTCCAAAAAGGAGTCCCCAATTCAAGGATAAAGAGGAGAGAATAGGTTTTTACGCGTAACTTCTAAAAGCTGCCCGTTAATTTGAAACATACTAAAGTTGCAATTGATCGATTTTTACCATGAATTAAAATTCGAATTTGGGTATTGAACTTTCGAGGATTTCAAGACTAAACTATTGGACGTCGTCTCGTTAATCCTCCGATTTATCGGTTTGCTCGGAATTCTCGAAAAAGGATTAACGGTCTGAGAATTTGGAACCCACGAGGAAGTGGGCCGGACAAAGGCACATTGGGCCTCAAGCCCAATGTGCCTTCGGCCATTTGGGCCCAAGACAAGCCCAAGTAGGCCCAATGAGGCCCACTAAATCCACTAAGCCCATTTTCTATTTTCAAGCCCAAGTTGAGCTCGATAGCATTTTCGAGTCCATTCTTTATCTGTTTGAGCCCAAACTCGATTTATACAAGCACGTACAAAATTCTAACCCATATACGTGTATAATACTTTAAAATATTTTGTGAAATTACCAAAAATGCCCTTCTAGTATTTATGATCTTGGGACATAAAATGATTAAGGAGATAAGACTTTGGGGGCAATTTTCATGATGAGCTTGGACTTGGACTTGGCTTGAAGATCAAGCTTGCAAGAGGGAGAAATATCTCTCATTTCTCTCATTTACTCTCTCTCCTCTCTCTCTCTCTCTCCTCAACCGGCCACCCCCTCCTCTCTCTATTTTCTCTCTTTTTCTCTCCCCCTCTCTCTCTCCCTATTTCGGCCACAGCAAGAACAACCCCCTTGGCTGCTGTTCTTGTCGTCGTGAAGCCACCACCGAGCCACCTGTCGAGCGCCGTGACCACCCGGAGCTGTACACCGCCCGTCCAAGCCATTTCCACCGCCGGACCGCCTCACCGTGAGCCAAACCAGCCGCCCACAGCTTCTGTCCAGCTGCTGTTCAGTTGATACCCAGCCGCCGTCGTCATCTCGTGTCATTTTCGGACCATGCCACGCGTAGCCCTTGCCGCCGCAGTCGTGTCCGTGTAATCGGAATCGCTAACGGGTAAGTTATCGCCCTAATCCCTTGATTAGTAGGTTAAACTTGATTAGGATGAGTTAATTTAGGTTAATTATGTTTAGTATTAATTAATTAGGGATTAGTCGATAAGTTATCGTGATAAGTGATAAGTGGACTTGATAAATTATCGAGAAAATGCGATAAGTGATCGCCGATATTGCGATAAACTATCAAGGATATTGCGATAAGCTATTAAGGATTTGACGATAAGCTATCGGATTATTTTTATAATTAATATTTTATTATTAAATAAATTAATTTTCGGAATTTAAATATTAATATTTTATTAATATTTTTGTGTAGAGTTTAATAATAAATTGTGATTGTTTTAGGCTTGAATTGTGATGCCTATATTGGAAATTGTCGTATAAATTAGCTTGTATAACTAAATGAATTGTATTGCTATTTTTAATGATGGAATTGCGGGCATATGAACAGTAAATTCCGAGGTGTAGGGTTTGTATGTCAATTTTTATGAGTTAAATAGGGCGTGTATGTTTGAATTGGGAAATATGAAAGTTTGATGGTTTAATTACATGTACATTATCACGTGTGATTATTCTAGTGCATTTTTATGTGTGAATGTTGCAATATTTTAACGTATTAGCACAGATCCTATCTGCATTGGCTAATTGAGAAAAATAAAAATGGGACTTGAGTGATTGCTATATGTGCATGATCACCTAAAGGTTCTTTTCGTGCTCGGTTATACTAGATGACTTACAACGTAGGGTTTGGCCGTGGCCTTAATAGGTGTCCCCAATTTGGTAATTGGATGCCGTCGCAGGGGTAGGGGAGACGAAGTCGTTCGCAAATTGAATTCAAAATGAACCCATTTATGGGATGCCGTCATTGAGATTGGTGAGGCGATGCCATGCCCAATAGGGCGGGACGATGCCCAGTTATGCCGGAAGAGCGCCAACCTGATGCGAATAACGCGGGTTGTGTCGTGCCTTGTGTGACCATAGTAATCGGAAAACGCATGAAAGATTGTGGTGGCATTGCGCTTGATTATAGGATGAAATTGTGAGGCACGGTATGTGACGGGTTGAAGCGGTTTCACCTTATAATCGGACACGTGTTGATGCATTGTGCATGGAAAAGTTGCTGCGTATTTTGACTGAATTATATGCTTATGAATTATCATGGTACATGATGGTATAACGTGAATGCCTGCGATTGTTTAATGGCACGTTTACTTATGCTGGGCTAGATAGCCTGCTCGTGTGTATAGTTAAGGCAAAGTAATGATAGCTTTGCTATCGATAATATGCTGCATGTTTAGGTGCATCTGAGATGAGTTGACTTCCTAATCGAGACTTAGGTCGTTAACTTGCTGAGATTTATATCTCACTCATTGTTGTTAACAATCTTTCATGTGCTCATGTATGAGTATGTGTTGCGTTCCATAGGAATCGGCTATTTTGAGGGGAAACACCTTACGAGGTTGTCCTCATTGATAGAGGAGCTAGGTTAAACCCCTTACCTTTTGTAATTGTGATCGAGAAGGTCTGCGTGGCGGACTTGTATTATATTAATTCCCGATGTACTGTTGTTAATGTATATATATAGTTGTTGTATATTTTCCTGTCTATCCCTGTTGTTGTTGATTGGACAATTGTTGTCGCTTCCGCATACGTTTAATCGTAAGTCAGTTTGATTGGGTCAGCGATGCGTCTTGAGACATTGCCATTTTACGACCATTGGCGGGATGTTAGCGTGCTTCGAGTTCGGGGCGTGACAATAATTAAAAAGCATAGCATATAATTTTAGGTTAATACCACGAAAAACCCCAAATTGGTACAAACTGGTACACACGTGACAAATTTACCCTCCGTTAGTTTCCGTTAAATTTTACATTGTTGAATTGGATGACATGTGGCAGTTGACGAGCATACCAATTTGGGGTTTTACCCTTCTATTTGTCACATGTTTACCAATTTGTGATTTTTCGTAGTATTAATCTAATTTAATGGAGGGTAACTTTGTCACAAGTATACTAGTTTGGGGTTTTTTATGATCAAAAAATTAGTTTGAAGTAAATTTATTATAGGTGTACCATTTTGAGATTTTTGGTGTTCAAAAAATTAGTTTGTGTAAATTTGTCACAGTTGTACCAGTTTGAGATTTTTCGTGATATTAACCCTATAATTTTTAGAACATTCATCATATAGTGAGTTCCTTAATTGCACTTGCATTGGACCAACCAAGGTGAATGGGCCTAAATCAATCGCATGGACCTGGCCTGCACTACTAGCAGAATTCGGCCAAGCTAAGGGGATAATGGCCGAAAATTTCAAGCCCTTAAGACCAAGTTTTGAGTTTTAATTAAGTTGGGTTTAGCCCCTTTAGCCCCTTAAAGTTAAAGGCTTGAGTTTAATAAGGATAGACCTTCAAAAGATCAAGCCTGTCACCAATTGAGCCCACAATTGGAGAAATTCGGCCAGCTCATTTCACACATGCTTGGCCGAAATTTTAAGAGATGTAGAGGGCCTAATTGAGCTTAGTTTAGTCAATTTCAGCCCGTCTAAGTTCAATTAGGGAGAAGCCTTGTTAATTAAAGTCCATCATTTAATAAGGTCGATAT